GCAATCTATGTTGTAACTATCTCTGAATTACTAATAAAGATACGAGCAAGGCCTCACCTTAAAACCAAAAAAAAAAATAGTTATAGTATTTAATATTTTCAAGTATTTAAATAGGTATAGTAAATCAAGAGTTTATATTAGTTGAACGAAGAGCAGATCTAATAGCTTCACTATTTAGTATTTTCTATTAAGAAAAAAAGAGATTAGTGGAAACTTTGAAAGTTTGAAGTTTTTTAGAAATATATTGTAATGCTTGTAGAAGATAAGATTGGCAATATTTATATTTAATTTAAAAATTGGTGAATTAAAACTTTGTTTTTTTTTTTGGTATTAAAGTGAAGTCTTGTTAGTTGAAATTATTTTATGCTCTGTAGAAATATTTCAACTTTCAATATTTAATATGTCAAAAGTCTAAAATAGTGCCAAAAGTCTAAAATAGTGTTGAAAGTCTAAAATAATATCAAAATGTCTAAATAATATCAAAATGTTTAAATAGTATCGAAATATCTAAATAGTATCGAAATGCTTAAATAATATCAAAATATTTAAATAGTATCAAATTGCCTAAATAATATTGAAATATCTAAATAGTATTGAAATGCCTAAATAGTATCAAAATATCTAAATAATATCAAAATGTCTAAATAGTATTAAATGCCTAAATAATATCAAAAGTATTAAAATATCTAAATAGTCGAAATGTCTAAATGGTATCGAAATATCCAAATTAAATTTAATATAAAAATTTTCAAGTATGTAGCATTATTTCAAAATAATGTGATTTAGAATTAATTTGAGTGAATTTTATATATATTTAGAGTGAAATTAATTTTAAATTAAACTATACAAAAATTTCAAATTACTGTGTAAACGATTAAGAATATAATTGTAGCTGAACATTTATATAAAAAAGTACTCTAATTATATAAAATAAAATGATTGGATTGCTTTTCTCTTGGTATCACTTATATTATTAAAAAAAATCTGCAGTAGTGAATTACAATCTATCTTGTGTCAAAAAGATATAAAAAAATTTCACAGATACTTATAAAATATAAACTTATATATTAAAATTTCAAGATAATATCTTAAATTATACAAAATTCATAATTTCAAGAATATATTACTTGATAAAATCTTAGGAACTTTTGTATTTGATTATATCTGAGAAAGCCAAAAATATATCCAAGATTCGTTATTTGCTAAACCTATAAAAATAAATTGTATTAATACAGTTTGTGAAAAAAACAGTATGAACTTCAGTAGTATATGAGTGTTTGGCAGTAAATTTGTACTAAATAAACTATAAATGCTCTGGGTTTTGACTGTTTGTGAATCTAATAGACACAAGTTTTGATATAAAAATTTGTATACAATTTCACAAACCTTTTTCATATTTATACGTATTATCAAATATATATATATTGGTATATATCTTATATCATTTCAAATATTGCAAGTTTCAGAATTTAATTTATTTTAAAATAAGTAGATGTTTAAAAATTTTTAATGCTTTTAATTATCAAAGTCAGAAATAAAATAGAAGTTCTATTTTATAAATTTTTTGATTTTAATATTATTATCATAAAGTAGAATTTATATCGCTTATTTTGAATTATCTACTATATAATTAATGAATATAATTAATATTACAAATTAAAAAAGTTTACAATTGCAAAATATTGATAAAAAATTTTTTTATGAAAGTGTATTTTAAAATATTATTCAAAATTAGATTTATATAATGTACAACACATCACAAGTTCAAAATATATGAATACTAATTAATGATTAATTGTTGTATAAATACATAGTTAGAACTTCTATCAGTTACTATCACTTCAAATTTATTTACTCTGAGTTTATCAAAAATTTTTTGAATACAATTTTGTAAGGTTTCTCTAGTATAACTTTAATCAGATAGGTCAAATATTTTTTAAAGATATTCTCATCTAGTAGAAGTATGAATTACAAAGTTCTAATATGATTTTTTATTTAAATCTGTTCATCTATCTAAGCCTATATTAAAAAATATATATATAAGTAATTAATGATACTTTTATTACTATGCTTTTTGAATTACTGTAACCAGTGATTTTTATATATCATACACCACAAGAGAATTCAGAAAATTTTAAAAACACAAATTTATAATTGGTTAAATTTTTATTTTATTAAAGTCAAATATTACCTGTTTTCAAACTTTGAGTAAAGATATTTTAAAAATAGGTTTCTTTGCTAAAAATTTATGAAAGTATAGTTAAAAAATTTTAAAATTTTTACTGTTTAATTGGCCAACTGAAAGATCTAGTAGAGCAATAAATATTAAACTAAGAAATTAATATTTAATAAAGAATTTTTAAAATTCTTAATTTTTAAATAGTATTTTATAAAAAAAATAATTTAAGAAAATTTTGCTAGTTTTTGTAATAAATAATTATTATATGATCACAGTAATTTGAAAAGCACAATAAAATAGGATAAATTATTTTATTAACATATCAAGAGTCAAATTACTTGCTTTATCTAAAATATTCATAATGCTTTGATTAACTTTAACTATTTCTGTATTTAATAATCATCTAGCAAATAATTGTCTCAATAGTAGTTGATAATCAGATCGCAATTCCCATAATACATCAATAAAATATAGATTGCTAATGATATGAAAAGGTATATTATATACTATAAATGCTTTTATTAAAGCTGAATTAATAATATTTTTACATTGTAAAGTTAGTTCAGTACTTTCTAAAATTTAGATAATGATATTTGACTACTTGTAATCTTGCGTTTTCTTTTGCTTAAATTAGAACCAAGTATAATCTCTTAATATAATACTTGACTATGATCTTGTTGATTAGCAACAACTTGAACATAAAAATCTATAATATCTTTATCTTGATTTGGGCAATTTAAAGCTAAATGTTCTTCTAAATCCACAGGTTTCACACATGCCCAAAATACACCACATACTTTATACTGTCCTGAACAATAATCTTTTACAGAAATATCTTTGTTAAAAAAATTTCAAACACCTGCAATTGGCTATCCTGCAGATTTTTTAAAAGCAGATATTTAAGGATTTATTTCTTGAAAATTTTCTTGGTAACTTTTTTATAGAAAATTTTCTTGATAACTTTTTTCTTGAAAATTTTCTTCTTAGAAGTCTTTATGAAAAGTTTCTTCTAAACTTTCATAAGATTTATTCATTTCGCACAAGATAATAAGATTAAAAAAATTAAAATAAATTTTTTTAATAATCTGAAATAATTTTATAAGATGTGATAAATCACAAAGTATATATATTTGTATTTAACTATAAAATTAAATTAATAAATTTAGAAATATTGTCTAATTATAATAACTTTCTAAATTAAATATATAGATTGAGATAAAATAACAATATAGTAATTATTGTAAGATCTAATGATTTTATAAGATCATATGTTGAATTTTCACTTTAGCCTTTTATCTGTTTGTGGCAAACTATATAAATGTTAATTAATTGGTATAGAAGTATAAGACGTTATCATAAGTTTAAAGTATAATATCAGGAGAGACAATGTTTTGCAAAGGCAGTATCAATTAATTTGTAATAGAAGTATAGAATGTTATATTATACAAGTTTAAAGCATAAAATCAGTAAAAACAGAAGAAGATAAATGTTTTGTAAAGACAGTATATATAAGGTAATTGTTTTATAAAGTTAGATTATTTTTATTATTGCTATTTTATAGAAAAGTTAGCACTATTATCTCTTTTTTTTTGCTTATCTTGCAATAACTCAGTAATAAAGATAATATTTAACAATTGGTTTAATAAATGAAGTATAATAGTAAATAATGCTAGATACTGCAGTTGCAGTGACAATGCAAAGACCTTATTTTTAGTAGCAATTTGGCTTTACAGCTGCAGCAAAAGGTCCTTGTTTTTAGTAGCAATTAGGCTTTATGACTGAAATTTTAGTACTTTGATTAATTGAATATAAATAAATTGAATATAAATAAAATAAACTAATATGATTTAATATCAAACCTGTAAAAGTCTTGAATTAATAAATTTAACAAAATAATCACTCATATACACAATATTACTATAATAAAACTTGAATATTTTTGAATAATATCAATATACATATATTTTTTTCATCTCTACTAGATTATTTAAGTTTAAATAAGTTGGTTTTTTATTAAAAAAAATTACCAAAATTCATATAATTTAAATTGTTTACCAAATTATTTTATTTATTTACTAACTTCTCTATATTTTCACTTAATATACTACTTTGCTATTGCATTTCTTTTTGCAAAAT